TACAAAGGGCCATAAAAGATAAGCTGGCAACATTACGCAGAGCTGAGCGCCTACGGAAACGCTACAAAAAGAAGGAACGTGCGAGGGCTAATTTCTATAAAGACCCATTCAAATTCGTAAAGAAGTTATTCACCAGTGAGAAGAATGGCACTTTAAAAACATCTAGGATTGAGCTAGAGAGATATTTGGAGGACACGCATACAGATGCAAAAAGGCATGAGCCTATGTCAATTCCATCAGACATACCACCTATCAACCCACCAGAATACCAAATGGAGGTCTGTGCACCTAAGTGGAAAGAGGTAGAGCAGGCTGTGAGAAAGGCAAGGGCTTCATCATCTCCAGGGCCTAATGGAGTTCCGTACAGAGTGTACAAGAGTGCTTCAGGAGTTCTGCGAATTCTGTGGAAATTGATAAAAGTGGCATGGGAAAAACAGGTTGTACCTAGAGCATGGCGCAGAGCAGGTGGAGTCTTTATACCTAAAGAAAAAGATGCTACAAGCATCAGTCAGTTTCGTCCTATTTCACTATTAAACGTTGAGGGTAAGATTTTCTTCAGCATTATTGCCCAGAGATTGTCCACCTACCTGTTAAAGAATGGCTTCATTGACACCTCAGTTCAAAAAGCGGGTATTCCAGGATTCTCAGGATGCTTAGAACACATCAATGTTATCTGGCAACGAATTCAGTCAGCTAAAAAGGAGAGGAAGGAGCTCCATGTGACATTCCTGGATTTGGCTAATGCATATGGTTCAGTGCCACATGAGCTTCTTTGGGCAGCATTTGATTTTTTCAGAGTACCAATGTCAATAACAAATTTAGTGAAAGCCTATTTTGGAGATTTGCAATTCAGTTTCTCAACTCCAAAATTCAGCACTGCATGGCAATGCCTAGAGGTTGGAATAATGGCAGGATGCACCATTTCTCCACTGGCTTTTACCATGGCGATGGAAGTAATCATGAGGGCATCAAGATGGGTAGTAGGAGGAGAGCGCTGGGCTTCTGGGATGCGACTACCACCAATCAGAGCATACATGGATGACATGACAACCATGACTACAACAGTAGCCTGCACTAATCGGTTATTGGGGAAGTTAACAGATAATATTGAATGGGCACGAATGAAATTTAAGCCCTCTAAATCAAGGAGCATCTCGATAGTTAAAGGAAAGGTAGTAGATAAAACATTCTTCATTAATGGTGAGGCAATACCAACAGTTTCTGAGAAGCCAGTGAAGAGTCTTGGGAGATGGTACGATGGGGATCTAAAGGACACAGTTCGGGTGGGAGAAGTTAGACGACAAGCAGTGGAAGGGTTGAAGAGCATAAACAGCTGTGCTCTACCTGGTAAACTAAAACTCTGGTGCTTTCAGTTTGGTCTACTGCCGAGGTTGCTGTGGCCACTGACCGTGTACGAGGTTTCTTTGACAACAGTGGATAAGCTGGAAGCGTTGGTAAGTTCATACATCAGGAAATGGTTGGGAGTTCCACGCTGCCTCAGCAGAGTAGGACTGTATAGTAAAGGAATATTGCAGCTGCCAGTCTCTGCTTTAACCGAGGAGTTCAAGTGTGCCAAGGTCAGACTGGAAATTACCTTAGTAGAGTCACGCGACAAATGTGTAAGGGAGGCAGCCCCTGTGTTAAAAACTGGTAGAAAGTGGTCAGCAAAGAAATCTGTAGTAGAGGCAAAGGCTGCCCTTCAAATTAGGGATATCGTGGGACAGGTACAGCATGGAAGAGGGGGTTTTGGGCTCAGTTTAGCTCCTCCTAAATGGCACAAGGCAGGCCCAGCTCAAAGGAGGAAGCTGGTAGTCAACGAGGTGCGACAGCAGGAGGAGAGGATGAGGTGTATGAAGGCCATTTCCCAGGCCAAGCAGGGAGAGTGGATGAGATGGGAGAGTGTGGAACAACGTAAGATGGGCTGGCAAGACCTCTGGTCAATGGAAGAGAGTAGGATCAGTTTCCTTATTAGGTCAACATATGATGTTCTCCCATCACCGCAGAACCTAAACCTCTGGGTAGGAGAGGAGCCCTCTTGTCCTTTGTGTTCATCACCTGCCACATTAAGGCACATTTTGACAGGATGTAAGGTGGCTCTTAGCCAAGGTCGGTTTACTTGGCGCCATGACCAAGTACTGCGATGTTTGGCTCTAGCATTAGAAGGCAAGCGTAACATGACCAATAAGTTGCCACCGTAAAGAACTTATCTGAAGCAGCAGAAAGGAGCAGCAACTGGCTCTGGTTGAGACGGAAAGATTCTAGCTGGCTGTGTACAGGCCGCCACGCTACGGTTTCGTAGAGTTCTTGAAAACTTGAAGAGTTTGTTGGTTTGTTTGTATACGTTCCTGTGGATATTGCGTGAATGACGGGTGGTTGGGTAGATATTGTGTTTTTGCGGTAGGTGGTATGCCATACGGAACCGTTGTCCACTGAAACTGCATATTAACGCACCAGTGGGGCTCGACAGCCTTAGTCAACGGGTTGGCGCGTATGGTTGGGTCGCGGAGAGATTGTGATATTGTGGTTAGGTCTCAGCAGCAGGAGGGATGTAGAGGTCAGTAAGCTGGGCTGAGTTGAGTGGGGGACGGAGGGGGGGGACTCTGGCACGCCAGAGTCACTGTCGAGCCCTCTTGAGGTGTCGTGGGCTAGTCGACGAAACACTGAGGACGGAAGGTGCCCACTTGAAGACCCTAGAGATGTCCCCTACTCGGTTCAATCCAGACGGTTGTCGTGCTGGTCCCGTAGTTGCAGCCGTCGCGTGTGCTAACGCGCCAAGTACACTGCTGCCGTTAACGCCGGACAGAAGGGGAGTCACACTACCTTATGGAAAGAAGCGTAAATGGATGGAGAAGCATAGTTTACTGTAAAGCTACGTCTTAGTTTTGCTTATCTTGGCGAAAGCCGAGTACAAATCAGCATGAAGTTTTAACATCTACTCTCGTGTAATGGAAATCATATAGTGCTTTCACAGACCCAATGGCCACCAAAGCGCTTTACATTTTGCCTCACATTCACCCATTCACTCTCTCATTCATACACCGACGGGCGACTTTTATCCATTAAAGATGGGACAGAACCCACTTTATTTAAACCAGCTTGCTCCTCAGAATCACAACCTGCAAGTATGATTAATTATTGACATATATATTTTTTCTACCGGGTGTTCAAAATACTTAGTTTTGTGTTTTATATTGTGTAGGTCTTTAGCTAACCGACTAACTCCCGTTATCACTGTCTTACTGAAATAGTTATGCTAATTAGCTGTGGGCCAGTATTACCTAAAACTGTCTATTAATGCAGATCATCTGTCGTTATTACTACTTTGAGTAAAGATAAAGAACTTTAATGTTACATCAGTCATTCACGTTAGTGCTTGGCTGACGTATGCGCCGTTATTGATGCAGTTAATGATACAGTTTCCTCATGTGCACCTCAATAAATCAGAAAAGCACACATGGGTTTGTTGATGAATACACTTGTTAATGCTCATGGGGAGGAATTACAGCTGCAACATCTCATAATGCACCTCAAAACAGTAGCATATCACTGAGAAACGTCCTGCTCAAGACGCCCTTGCGATAGAGGTTCAAGTTGAATAACTTCCAATGTTTTATCATCGGACTCGCGCTCGGTAAAATCAACGCCATCGTTACTGTCTTTACAGTGTGTACAATCGCTGAGCTTTAGGAAGCCTCCTGAGCTGAAGTTCAGTTATGGTAATGAGTGTTTGGTTTCCGACACGCGCTGTACGCGATAGACCAATCACAACAGACTGAGCCGTCTGGCCAATCATAGCAGAGCAGGCTCACGGAAAGGTGGGATTTAGATTCATCCGACAAGCCGTTTGAGTTATTAAAGTACACCTGTGGTATGAGATTCAAAACAAAATTAGGAACCTTTAAAATAGCATAATAGGGGCACTTTAATGTTCTTTCCTCTTTAATTTATCATATTATTTTCTCAGGTTGTGGATTTTGAGGGTTTCATCGGTGCGCTCAATGAACAGGGTTACCTTCTGAAGAAAGGCCACAGGATCTATCAGCTTCAAACCATATGAATGAACCACCTCTTATAATGTTTCTGCAATGTTATTGTTGGGTTATTGTTTTTTTAATGCAACAAATATTATATTTATATCACACAGTGTAATGTATGTTTACATTAACTGTACATTGTTTCCATGTACATAAATAGACACATAGTTCTCTTTAAATAGTATGTACCTGTAAATACTATGTACAAAAACCAAATCGTAACCATATTTCTGAACATTAAAACAGAATGTGTATATGATATGATTGCATGGCATTGCAATGTTAGCTGTGTCTGTTCAGCAGATCCTGCTGTGTTCAATACTGAATGCTGTATATACAATTTTAGGTAACAGTAAAATAACCTTATAAGAACCAACCCATGTGCAGCTAATACATTTAATTGCAATAGAATAAAATGAAAAGAATATGTAATATGCATTCATTAAAGAGTTGTAAAATTTCATTAAAAATAAACAAATCAAACAAAAAGACACATTCTAAAAGTTTTTTACTTTATTTGAAGGAGTTCCTTTTAATTATGATTATGATATTAAATTGTGACATTTTATCATACATTTATATATATATATATATATATATATATATATATATATATATATATATTATACAGTATATAGAACAGTATTACTATTTATTATTAGCTGATCATTTGAATTGCAGTTTTATAATATATGTTATACTAGAATAAAAGATAATGGTACAGAGAAGCTAACAGTTCTCGCAAATATACCATCACTGCTCACTAGAGATAATTGTTACTACAGTAAAAATGTGGCAACTTGGTATCCACTGCCATCAACATCAAATTATATTATATTTCCAGTTAATCTGAAGCATTTAATATGCGTTAGTTTATTTTTATTATAATGCGTATTAGAGCGCGGCTCCTTTAATACCCGCCCTTTTTTTTTAACAAGTAACTGTCGTAAAAAATTAGCAGGCTGGTCGGAACACGGCAGGGCACAAACATGTGGGTCGCCAATGAATGTCTGAAATATAAAGGAATATGAACGAATTAATTTCGAAATATGCTGCTGGATGCTCGGTTAAACAGATCGCGGATATATATCATCTACTTTGACTGAGATAAAGCAGCTGACATGTTTTTGGCAGCTTGTTTGGCGAAGAGCTGGTTCGGCTGTGCTAAAGGACACACACACAGACTGAGCGCCAGCACTGCTGCCACCTGCCACTACAGAAGATCTGCAAACACACCGCAGAGAAACACTACAGCACAGCTCACATGGCTTCAGAGACTGAAGACCTGTGGACCAGAGCTGGACCTTCATCAGAGGTCAGACCCACTCAGCTCGGTTATATGTAGCGTTAGAGCAAGACTACAGAAGCATCAGTGCAGGCTTCATCAGCCGGGCTCGAGCAGCTTCACTGGTGCTGCTGGTGCCAATGGGTTCTGCACTGATGCTTCTAGAAAGCCAGTTTTGGAAGACAAATGTTCAAAGCAGGATTCAAGGGAAAAGGAGGAAGTTCAAGGACAAGGAGACTCGCCACCTCCAGCTAAAGAGGGACATTTCCAGTTTAAAGAGCTGGTGAGTCGAATCAGATTTGAGTTTTTACACTCTTTTTTCACACTTGTTATTTGATCTGTTTCAGTTCCAAGTACGTCAGGGTTTTTTAAATTGGGGTCCCATTTTCACAAGGTGAAAACTGAAGGGGAAAAAAAAGTTTATAAATGTATCTATTTATTGTCATTTACTTAAATTCATTTGTTTAATAATAGAATAAAATACATATATAAAAGTACATTTATTTGAATATAAATTTTAACATTTACTTAAATATAATTTAATGAACTTCTACACATTTATAATATATATATATATATATATATATATATATATATATATATATATATATATATATATAACTTAAATATAATTTAATTAACTAACTTTTATACATTTATAAAAAAAATTATATAAATGTGTAGTAAGTTAAATTATATTCAAGTAAATGTTAAAATTAATATTCAAATAAATGTACTTTTATATATGTATTTTATTCTATTATTAAACAACAAATGAATTTAAGTAAATGATAATATATAGATTAAATTAAATCAAACAATAATTAGATATAAATAAATAAACAATAAAAAAGAATAGCTTATGAAACAATGGATCTAGTATTGTGTCACTTTGTTTGTCAAACACTTCTGGATCGTGTTCATAGTTAACTGATGTAATAATAATATTTTCTAAAAAAAAATAGAATTTTTGTTGTTTTCCAGTAAAAAATATCTGAGTTAGAAAATCAATTTGGACTTTGCTCCTCACTGACATTCATGTAAATACCTAACCATTATTCAGAATGTTTTCTATTTGTTAGACTATCTTGTATTTCTATCTTGAAACAAAAGTTGTACACTGATTCTAATGTCTGTAATCTCAGAATGATTCAGTAAAAATTGCGGTGTTCTTTATCTTTACAATAAATGAAGTTTGCTTTAATATCAAACATTTTATTGGACTGTCCTGCTTTTGTTTTAATGTAGTAGAAAACATTTCAAATAAGCTCACTTTAGTAAGATTTTCTAGAAAAGGCTTTAGAATTTTTTTTATCACATGTTAAAAATCTTCAATAATATTAATTGGAGTTTTTTTTTTTTGGTTTGCTTGTTCTTTTATTTATTTTTTATTTATGTAACTTGTGTTTTAGTAATTTAGTTTTTGCCATGAAGATAGTCATAGATGTGGACATAACATTAAATAAAACTATACAGATACTGCTGATACTACTTTAATATCTACAACAATGACATTCATTTTTTCATGCATTTTTAAGTGTGTTAAATGTCTTTTGTTCATCATGCATATCCATAATTTAATGTAATGCCATTTCTTCACAGTATGAGAATCCATGGACGATCCCTAATTACCTCTGTATAGCCCGGATCGTTCTGTCTCCTGTCGTGGGATACTTGATCACCGAACAGTACTTCCACGTCTCTCTGGGGCTTTTCCTACTGGCCGGAGCAACAGACTTGGTAAGTTGAAGAGAACGTGATCTGATCTTATGATGTGTAATGCTTAAGGATTTTATAATGGACTGTCCTAAAGGAGATGTTGTTGTATTGATCACTGGTTTCGCTTTCAGCTGGACGGCTACATCGCTCGTAACTGGCCCAATCAGAAGTCGGCTCTGGGCAGCGCTCTCGATCCATTGGCTGATAAGATTCTCATCAGCGTTCTTTACGTCAGTCTGACATATGCACAGCTCATCCCTGGTGAGATGATGCTCATTTTCTGTCATTTTTTTATTCACCAGTATTCATCACTGCAGCTTAATTTCTTTAAAGAGGACCTATCATGCTATTCCCCATGTTCCTCTCTCTTTAGTGTGTAATGTTGCTGTTTGAGCATGAAAACGCTCCAGTTCTTCTCTATATCAGTGTCAGTGTTTCTGAACTCCTGAAACGCCTCCATTGTAGTCTTGAGTTTCTTCCGGGAACGAACACGTCACAATATTCCTCATTATAATAATTCATACGCAGAATAAAGGGGCGGGGCCTGGTTGAGTTAGTTAGTAGTGTGTTAAACTGGCGGTTATGGTAAGGGGCGGGGCATTTCCCAAACACACTTGAAGCGCTCGACCAATCACAACACACTGATCCAGCCGACCAATCAGAGCACAGTGTGCTTTTCAGAAGGAGGGGCTTCATAGAGACAGGAAGTAAACAGAGCGTTACTGACAGACTGGGAAGAGACGAGCCGCAACAATGGAGAATATGAGGAAAATATGTTTTCAAGACTTTGTAAAATGGCATAATAGGTCCTCTTTAATAACCAATTTGAAATGTATCCAAACTGACTTCGAGTTCACTTCACACAGTGTTGGTTTATTAATGTTCTTTTAAAATCCTTTGTATGGTTTGAACAACCACTTACCGTTATGCTTCATCACTCCATATTTGCATAATTAGGTATTCACTTTTTCAGGAAGCACATTGTGCATTGTAGCGGTTAACTCAAACAGCTGTTTCGTTCTAGACTGTAAACTCGTTCAGATCTCTAAACTCGTGCTGTTTTTCCTCAAAGCTCCTCTGACAGCACTGATCATATCCAGAGATGTAGCGCTGATCGCTGCTGTTTTCTATGTGCGCTACAAAACAGTTCCTCCTCCAGTAAGTGAAGCACTTTCAGCCGTTTTGTGGTGCTTTCTATCATATTTCAAACAGGATATTATAAGGAATGCAGTAGTCAGATTTATGTTTCATCATTGCACTTGTTTATTTTATGTGGACTGTGGGATAGTTCACCAAAAAAAATAAAAAAAATAAGTCATAACTTCCCCTCATGTTGTTCCAAACCTGTATGAGTTTCTTCTGTTGAATGTTAGTAATCACACAGTTGACTCTGTAGCCATTGACTTCAATAGTATGGAGACAAAAAATACAATGGAAGTCAATGGGGTCCAACAACTGTCTGATTACCAACATTCTTCAGAATATCTTCTTTTGTGTTCAACAGAAGACAGAAACTCATACAGGTTTGGAACGACTTGAGGGTGAGTAAATGATGACAGAATTTTTATTTTTGGGCGAACTATCCCTTTAATCCGTGTCCTCAGACATAAGTGTGTTTTATAGTTCATGAAGTCACAATATTTGACGTTTGTCTTTATTTTCTGCACAGGTAACACTCAGTAAATTCTTCAACCCGTGTTACACCACTGCCCGACTCAGACCAACACTCATCAGCAAGGTGGACTAAAACATCAAGTTCTCTCTTCATAAAACCTTGTGTTTTAACTAAAGTTTCAGTTTGTATTTCTACCAATATCAGATTTGAATAACTCTGAACCAAGAATGCATAAAAATTAAGCCAATACTGATAGTAGGCCTGTCGTGATTATTAATTATTCGTCTGTTCATAGTTATTTGAGATAACCGCAATAATTGTTCAGCCATTCAAATGAGGGAAATACTATACAATTCTTTTTATAATATAATATAAATATTATTTATATATTTCTTTGAAATTAATGATATTTGTGTAATTGATTATTTATATAATAGAACATAGTAAAAATTATTTCTATTTTTCTGTGAAAATTTATATAAACAATTATTTATTACTTTATAATAAATCATTAAATATTAATTTTCAATTCATTCGCAGTAAATCATATAGCCCTAATTGTATTATAAGTGTTGTTATTATTATATTGTATACGAGTCCAAGTAAAAACAAAAATGCACTGTAAGTGACATGAGAAAAACAAAATTAAATCGTTAATGAAATTGCAATTATTTGTATGACTATTAATCGTCAGCACAAAATTCATGATTGTGACAGGCCTGACTGATAGCTGATAAAACCAGTATGATGTTCAGTGTTGTATATCTAAATTCCTGTGTGTGTGTGTGTGTGTGTATGTGTTTCAGATCAACACGGCAGTGCAGTTGTTCCTGGTGGCGGCGTCTCTGGCGGCGCCGGTGTTTCACTACACTGACAGTGTTTTACTGCAGTCACTGTGGTGAGCTTTTACTCCTGATATTAGTCATTTATCATCATCACTCGCATTATTCTAATTATTCAATCAAACTAAATGACTGTGTGTTGTGTTGGCAGGTACATAACCGCTCTGACGACCACAGCATCTGCTTACAGCTACTATCATTACGGTAAAAAGACCGTTGAGATTCTGAACAAAACCAAGTAGTCGTGCAGTCATCGGCACAGCTGGGATTCGACCTTTGACGGATACTTTCGGGAATCCTGGGAATAATCAGTCATTGTGAATAATGGAAATGAATGCCACGGTCTTACTTCTGTAACGGAGGCACTTTAGTCTGTATAAAGTCAAAAATTATTTTGATTACAATATTAAATTCATGTGGTGTCACTTCTGATCATATGATTTCAACTCCATAGGAAACACTTTTTTTTAAAATCACTTTTAATGAACTTTGGGTTAATTTTGAAAATAAAAAATAGACATCAAATACACAGTTGTGTATAACGTGTTTAAAAAGAAGAGGGTTTCAAAGTAGAATGTATTGTAGTGTGACTGTAGATTTGAATGGGTGTTTAACAGCTTTTTACTGAATCATTCTGAGATCACAGACATTAGAATCATTGTACAACTTTTGTTTCCTTTAAGAAGAAATACAACTATAGATAGTCTAACGAATAGAAAACATTCTGAATAATGGTTAGGTATGTACATGAATGTTAGTGAGGAGCAAAGTCCAAATTGCCTGAACTGCCAAGAATAATCTGCTTTCATATTGAACTTGTTGGTGTAGAATCACTTTACAAATTGACCAACTGTTTTAAGTAGTCATTAAATATTTCAATATAATAATTAAATCCATTAAAGTGAAACATTCATTCATACTGTACTATAGTTTTAAAGGATACAAATGTAGGTTTTATTTATTGCACTATTATTTTTTTTACTTCTCAAATTGCAAAGTATAGTAATTTGAACATTAACAATACAATTGTTTCTAAATTATATGTGTGTGTGTGTGTGTGTGTTGTGTTTAAAATCACCTCGTGATTCTGTGTTCTTTAATGTATGGATTTCAATCAATGGGCCTTAAAATGTGTAGTTCATATTTATTAATATATTAATTTGGTCGCGCACGGTTGAACACATTTATGCATAAAATCAAACATCAATTTTGTAAACGCACAATGTTCTGGCCTTGCACAGTGGATCTTCACCTCCAGCTATTATGCAGGCAAGGTTTAGGAATATATATGACATTATTTAGTGATGTTACATGGGGGGAAATAGCTTTAGCTAAATATATAGGAAAGTTTGTAGTTACTGTGTAAGCCAGGCCTCGTGCAGGAAAAGGTAAGTTCCTCCACTGTTATGTTCTTTCCTATGGGTTGATAAATGCTGGATTGGGGATGGAGATTAACCTGGTTAGATGTAGGTTCTCCACTGGTTGTTTCTTACACTGTTTATACAGGCAGAAGCTCAGACCATGATCAGCATCAGGACGCCACACACCACTAACACACAGTGTTCATACCCATCCAGACAGAGGCACAGGTTGGAGATCCAGTTTTGTTCTGTCCGTCTTCCTGGTTTTTATGCACGGTTTCATCCACTATCATGGGACTCTGTGTTGGAGTTTTGGTCGTGAACTTTGTCTCATCCGGTGAATTTGAAGATGGATGCACTGTAGGTGTGATTGTGTCTGGTTTTGGTTTCATTGTACTTTATTCCACAGGTGTAGATGCTGGATTAATGACTGAGGTAGAGACTGTAGTTGGATCTGACTTGGTAACTGCACTCGATGACTTTGGGTTGGTATCGTCATCTACAGCAACACTGTAAAAAAAATATCGTGATTTTAACGGTAAAAGACTGTACAAATGCTACAGTGCTGGTTAACAGAAAGTTTCCTTATTATATACGGTAAATAACTGTGATAGATCTGATGGTACATTTAATTTTACTTTAAAATACCGTTAAATTGACCGTTAAATTAAGTTTTTGAAAGTTAAAAAGAACAACTTATTGTATAAATAATAATATTGTATAATACAGTGAAAAAACGTAAATTGACATTCCCACAATTCCCTGCGTGACACTTCACATTGTATGTATTTTTGTTGAAATAACAATGTTTCTTTATAGTTTTCTTCGGTTTTTTTTTTATCAGTTATGTACATTGAGGTTTTATGTTACATTTAATGTTGTTAAATTAATGTTTATTGCATTTTTAAAATTGCAAGTGTCTTACCATGATGGTGTTTAATGTTTGTGCGAATCACTGTGCAGCTTTTATATCGTGAAGAGCCTTGTTTGATCATGTGATTCTCGTCACTGCTGTGATTGTTGTTTGTTAGTGTATTACAATGGCTCATAACAGATATTAGTACTTCAATAGGCTTAATTTATGCACAGCTGCACTACTTCCTGAACTTCAGTCAGCTCCTTTGTTTCCTGTCTGCCATTATTGAACAAACTGATTAATCCAGGTGTGCCTGGCCTCAGTAACAATAATCAGGCACACCTGGATTAATCAGTTTGTCTAATAATGGCAGACAGGAAACAAAGGAGCTGGCTAAAGTTCAGAAAGTAGTGAAGCTGTGCATAAAGCCTATTGGTCGGAAAATTAAAGGACAAGTTCGGTATTTTACACTTAAAGCCCTGTTTCAAGATCGTTTCTGATGAAATAGAACGGTTAAGATTAAAATTTGGACACATGCTGCTGATATGCTCACACAAAAATCGCTGCAAAAGATGCTTTCCAACAGGTTTTATCGTAGTTTTTGTCCAAGTCAAGTCAAATAGTGTTTTAAAAAACTACGATAAAACCTGTTGGAAAGCATCTTTTGCAGTGATTTTTGTGTGACCATATCAGTGAAGTCAAGTCAAGTCACCTTTATTTATATAGCGCTTTTTACAATACAGATAACATAACATGAAAACAATATAACAAAGTTTGTTTCTAAAAGAAAATTGCGTCAGCGTCCACCTTAAGTAAGGCAGATCAATAACATTATTGAATATTAAATGTCCCCAACTAAGCAAGCCAAAAGCCAAGGCAACAGTGGCAAGGAACCAAAACTCCATCAGGGGACAGAATGGAGAAAAAAACCTTGGGAGAAACCAGACTCAGTCAGAACACCCCTGACCACTCGGTGAGAAAAACTGTTTTCTATGAGAATATATAGTAAAATGTAATTTATTCCTGTGATCAAATAATCAGCATCATTACTCCAGTCTTCAGTGTCACATGATCCTTCAGAAATCATTCTAATAGATGATTTGCTGCTCAAGAAGCATTTATTATTAGTAGTATCAATGCTGAAAACAGTTCATGTATTGTGGAAACTGTCAGTAACTGTTTGTCAGGACTCTGATGAACAGAAAGTTCAAAAGAACAGCATTTATTTGAAATATTTTTGTAACATAAATGTTGTCACTTTTGATCAATTTAATGCATCCTTGTTAAATTCTTTCAAAACTTTTGAACGGTAGTGTTTATATATATATATATATATATCCAGTTTATAAAAAGTAATGTGTATTTAGTATTAAAACAGAATAACAATCCATTTCCATACCACATTCAAAGTACGGGCCATCTCCAATCATGAAACATGTAGTGTAGTTCAGTGACGGAGGATCCTGCGGTCTCACACACACAGCACTCCACAAACACATCACTGCATACTGTGATGCCAGTCCCATCATCTGTTGATCAGAGCACTTTCTTTCAATAAAATACTAAAGCATTTGTTTAACAAGATGACATGAGGATGCCACTGACTCAGATGTTCAATTCAAGGTCAGTGAATCCGACTGGAACTTCTTCATTAATATTTCAAGCAGAGCTAAAAGCTGTTTGAGATTTTCATAACACTTTAGTATGATGCATACTGTTTTTAAATTCATGATGGAGCATCTAAACATACTTTGTTTTGTGTGCAGGGAATCATGAGATCGTCTGGAACACATGCAGGTCAAATCTTATGAAGAAATCAAACAACTTTCTGAACGTTTCTACATTTCAAGTGATCAGCCGTCACCATCTGCAGGTTAGTTACATGTAGCCTATTACAATAAACATCTTGTTTTGTTAATTTTTCACTGTCAGCATCATAAAATGTGTAACACTTTAAAATAAGGTTCATTAGTTAACGTTAATGTATTAACTAACATGGACTGGGCAATACATTTGTTACTGTATTCAATATACATTAGTTAATAAAAATACAGTCACTCATTGTTTGTTCGTGTTAGTTCACAGTGCATTAACTAATGTTAATAATGTTTTAGTAAATGTTGAAATGAACAAATATTATTAAATTCTGTAGAAGTGTAGTTCATTATTAGTTAATGCTAATTAATGTTGTTAACCTTATTGTAAAGTGTTAGCTAAAATGTATACCGAATACATAATAAAATGACCATCTAGTTTAGACACATATTGCATTGTTTGCATTATAAATACAGTAAATCTGGAGCCTCTATGAACACAATGCAGGATTTGAAGTCTGATGTACTCACACAGATCATCTTCCGTCTCAGGATTAGCGTGATAAAGCATGAAGCATTGGAAACGGCGTGAGCTGGAGTCGCAGTGAAGGTTTGAGTGTGTGTTTCTCTGGACGGGTTCAGGAATGCAGATGTTGTCTAGTGGGAGTTAGTTAACCGCTGAACTCTGCTGATATCTGACGAGGTTTCTCACCTCTGAGCGAGAGACGGCCATCTCCCTCATGTGTGTGAAGTGTGCTGTTTAACACATGAATGAGAGTGGTCTTCAGGTACGAGTGTAAGTCAGTTGTTTAGGACGCTGGACGTGATCATGAGTCGTGTGTGTTTGAGGGACGTCCCGGCACCGTGCTCTCCCCGCACCCACTCTTTCCTCCTGCATTTTTGACTGACAGTCTCCTTGATAACACTTGACAAACGGCTCCTGTGAAGGAGGGTTCACTCTTCCGGGGAAGCATTTTTAAGTAAAACCGTTATTTATCCTGCAAAGAGTGAAAGTGTGCAGTTGTGACCTTAATGAGTTGTTTCTATCAGATTTCACCATTAAATTGACGTTTGTTGCTGTTATGTATATTATATTGATTTTGATGTTACCACCAACATTTTAAGTCAACAGATGCAATATTTACACTGTACTATAACACTTTTAACATGTATTCAGGGTTTGACTTTAAATTGAAAGATTTTTCTATTTTCGGGCTGCTGTTGGAGGCTAATTTTGATGTGGTCCTGAAAAAGGAGTTTTGTACTTTTAGATTGGTTGGAGTTTTTGTTTTTTTCTTTGAATAACTTGCATTGCCAATCATGTTGGTTTTTAGCAACGACACAAGATTAATTTACATTCACTTACATTGCAAAAAATGTCAATGTAGTGATTGTGGGATT